CTTGTTCTGACTAATGATAATAGCTTCTCTACCGTATTTTTCCACAAATACAGTCAATTTGAGTCCTTATGTATTCTATCCAGCGAGGTCCAAGTGAGTGTAGTGTATAGCTGCCATTTATATGTTGTTGAAAAAAGGTAGTTGTAATGTGTAAGTTGTTAGTCTTACAAAATTCTATCATGTGATTTCCAGCATCATTTCCATCATCAACGCATAAGTTATCCAAGTGGCAATCCTTCTCCAGTTTCAACTTTGTATATTCCAATCAGCAGTAATCATCAATGTATTTTGATTGTTTATTTGAGCAATTTCAGACTGCAGAAGTTGGTAAAAATCTTCAATTTGTTAATCTTTGGCATTATTGGTTGATGCATAAATTTTAGTAATAGTTGTATTAACTGGTTTTCTTTATAGGCAGATATATCCTATCATTGACAGCATTATACTTCAGGATAGATCTTGAAATGCTCTTGACAATGAACATACTATTCTTCAATTTTTCTTAAAACTTCATAATAAGCCTCATGATCATCCTGTGTCCTTTGAGAAAAATCTATAAGACTATTCCTTTCTTTCCAAGTGACTACAATTTTCATCACTCTTCTCTCCTTCAGACAGGGGAGACAAATATTTGCACCTCAGATGACCACTCATGAACTTTTAAGATCACATAACATACTCATCAAAGTAGGATGCAAAACAGAGTCTTTGTGGACTATGTGATGTAAATAGACCATGGTGACCCCTAAACTATGGTTCTGAGCACACAGGCTCAGCAAATTATTCCATCAAGGTGTTAGGTAATATGAAGACTTTGATCTTTATCTCCAATTGAAGTAATTACTTCAATTCCTCTTCACTTTCAGTAAGCAAGGTTATGCCATCTACATATCTCAGGTTGTTAATGAACTTTCTTTCAACCCTGATGCTGTGTTCTTCATGCAGACCAGCTTCTTGGATTATAAATTCAACATGAAGATTGAATAAGTATGTTAAAAGGATTCAAATCCCAGCAACTTCCTTCGCTGATTTTAAACTGTGCAGTTCCCCTTGTTCTTTTAGCATGACTGTCTTTTAGTCTGTGTATATGCTCCTAGAAGCACAATTAAGTGTTCTGGAATTTCCATTCTTCACAATGTTATCCATAATTTGTTTTGATCCACACAGTCCCTCATTCCATAAACTCTTCTGAACCTGCCTAGGATTTCTATTGACGCACTGTTGTAATCATTTTTAACTGATCTTCAGCATGTGATATTAGTGATGTTGTTATTGTTGTTAGAGGATGTCGAGTCAATACTGACTCATAGTGACCAACAGAACAAAACACTGCCCGATCCTGGGCCAACCTCACAATTGTTGCCAAGTTTGAGCCCACTTATGCTGCCACTTGGCCAATCCATCTTGCTGGGGGTGTTCCTCTTTTTTTCTGACCCTCCACCTTACCAAACATAATATACTTCTCCAGTGACTGGTCCCTCCTGACAATATATCTGAAGTATGAGAGACGAAATCAGTCCATCCTGACCTCCAAAGTGCCCTCTGGCTGCACTGCTTCCAGAGCTGTTTGTTCTTTTAGCAGCCCATGGTACTTTCAATATTCTTCCAATACCATAACTCAAATGCATCAATTTTTCTACGATCTTTCTTATACACTGTCCAGTTTTCGCATGCATATGAGGTTACTGAAAATACCACGGCTTGGGTCAGGCACAGCTTAGTCCTCAAGCTGACATCTTTGCTTTTCAACACTTTAAAAAGGTCTTGTGCAGCAGATTTGCCTAATGCAATACATCATTTGATTTCTTGACTGCTGTTTCCATGAGTGCTGATAGTTGATCCAAAAAGAATGAAGTCCTTGACAACTTCAATCATTTCTCCCCATTGATAAGAATGTTGTTTATTGGTCATGTGGTGAGGATTTTTGTTTTCTTTACATTGAGATGAAATCCATATCAATGGCTGTGCTCTTTGATCTAGATCAGTAAGTATTTTAAGTCCTCTTCACTTTTACCATGTAAAGTTGTATCATCTGCATACCACAGGTTGTTAATGATTCTTCTTTCAATAACTCAATTCTCGGATTATTTGCTCAGCATATGGATTGAATAAGTATGGTGAAAGAATACAACCATGCCGCACATTTTTCTTAATTTTAAACCTTGCAGTGTTTGCATGTTCTGTTGAAACAACTGCCTCTTGGTCCAGGTAGATTCCTCATTAGCACAATTAAGTGTTTCAGAATACTCTTAACATTGCAAAGTTGTCCATAGCTTGTCATGATCCACACAATCGAAAGCCTTTGCATAGTCAATAAAGCACAGGTAAACATCTTTCTGGTATTCTCTGTTTTCAGCAATGCCCGTGGGAGTAAAGCCCTCAGGAACTTCATTTGCTGATGAGGCACATATCAAAATGAAGAGAAATAGCTGTTGTTGTTGTTGTTAAGTACCGTGTGGAGTTGGTTCCAACTCATAGTGACCCTGCACAGGGTTTCCGAGGCTGTAAATCTTTACAGAAGCAGAAAGCCTCATCTTTCTCCCATGGAGCAGCTGGTAGTTTTGAACTGCCGATCTTGAGGTTAGCAGCCCGATTAGTAACCATTACACTACCAGAGCTGTAAACATCCATTAATAATCAGAACATGGAATGTACGAAGTATGAATCTACGAAACTTGGAAATTTTCAAAAATGAAATGGAATGCATAAACATCGATATCTTAGGCATTAGTGAGCTGAAATGGACTGATATTGGCAATTTTGAATCTGACAACCACATGGTTTACTATGCCGTGAATGACTAATTGAAGAGGAATGGTGTTGCATTCATTGTCAAAAAGAACACATCCAGATCAGTCATGAGGTACGATGCTATATGTGATAGGATACTATCTATATGTGCCTACAGGGAAGCCCAGTTAATATCACTATTATTCAAATTTACGCACCAACCACTAAAGCCAGTGAGGATGAAATAGAAGAATTCTACCAACTTCTTCAATCTGAAATTGATCAAACATACAATCAAGATATAATGATCATTACTGGTGATCGCAATGCAAAGGATAGAAAAAAAAAGAAAGGATCAGTAGTTGGAAAATATGACCTTGGTGATAGAAATGATGCTGGAGATCGCATGATAGAATTCTGTAAAACAAATGATTTGTTCATTTCAAATACCTTCTTTAGACAGCATAAGAAATGATTATATGTACAGACCTCACCAGATGGAATACACAGAAATCAAACTGACTACATCTATGGAAAGAGACGGTGGAAAAGCTCAATATCATCAGCCAAAACAAGGCCAAGGGGAGATTGAGGAACAGACCATCAATTGCTCATATGCAAATTCAAACTGAAGGTAAAGAAAATGAAAACAAATCCATGAGAGCCAAAACGACCTTGAATATATCCCACCTGAATTTAGAGATCACCTGAAGAGCAGATTTGATATATTAAACACTAAAGACAGAAGACCAGAAGAGTTGTGGGATAACATCAAGAACATCAAACATGAAGAAACCAAAAAGTCTTTAAGAAGACAAGAAAGAAGGAAAAGGTCAAAATGGATGTCAGAAGAGACACTGAAACTTGCTCTCCAGCATAGAGATGCTAAAGCAAATGGAAGAAATGAGGAGGTACAAGAGCTGAAAAGAAAATTTCAAAGGTCAGGTTGAGAAGACAAAGTCAAATATTACAACAAAATGTGCAAAGATCTGGAGTTATAAAACCAAAAGGGAAGAACATGCTCAGAATTTCTCAATCTGGGGGAACTGAAGAAAAAATGCAAACCTCGAGTTTCGTTACTGAAGGATTTGCTGGGCAAAGTACTGAATGATGCAGAAAGCATCAAAAGAAGATGGAAGGAATACACAGAGTCACTGTACCAAAAGGAAATGGTTGACGTTCAACTGTTTGAAGAGGTAGCATATGATCAAGAATTGATGGTACTGAAGGAAGAAGTTCAAGGTGCACTGAAGGAACTGGCAAAGAACAAGGCACCAGGAATTCATGGAATAAAAATTGAAATCTTTCAAGAAAGTGACGCAGCACTAGAGGCACTCACTCATCTCTGCCAAGAAATTTGGCAGACAACTATCTGGCCAACTGATTGGAAGAGATCCATATTTATGCCCATTCTAAAGAAAAGTGACCCAAAGGAATACAGAAATCATTGGACAATATCTTTGATATTCCATGCGAGCAAAGTTTTACTATAGATAATATAGAATGTAATGACTAGAGTGAATTATTTCCCCTTAATTTGCTTATTTCCAATATGACAGCTAAATATATTGAAAAAATTAAGTGTAAATAAAAAGTTGTTGCTGTTGTTAAGTGCTGTCGAGTTGATTCCGACCCATAGCGACCCTGTATAGGGTTTTCAAGGAGCAGCTGGTGAGCTTGAACCACCGACCTTGCAGTTCAAACAAGCTTGCAGTCTGATGCATTAGCCCACAACGCCACAACAAAACTCCAAGTAAAACTCCGAAAATAAGTAACTGACCTGTATGAGTTCTTCTATGTCTTTGAAGCTCATCACTCCTTGTGAACCTTTTGCCACAAAACATCCAGTTGCATACAAAAGGTCTTTCTCCAGTATGCCAGCGAAGATGTGCTCGTAGGTGAGACGTTTTGCCATACACTTTTCCACATCCTTCAATATGACAGATATGTTGTTTCTTTTTTCCTGGTTCATTACTGCCTCTAACAAAAACAAAAACCAAACATCAATGACACTACCAAACACCAAGCTAAGGCATATAAAAGCAAATAAAAGAGAATCAAGGGAAATAAAGATGATTTCCAGAAACATGATTTTTAAGAATCATGTTGTCACAAATAAGAAAATTTTTATTAATAAAATTAAACAGGTCTGTACTCTAAACTACTGAAAAAATGTGTTAATCTTTGAGAGATTATGATCTAGTTTATAAGTCATATTCTTTCCCTGGTAGGCTCTGACTTTGAGAAAGAATTTCTGTAAGTTATTCAAAGAATTTAAAAATTCTCCTCTAAAATCGGTACATGAGTATTTACCTTTCATTCAAACACCACTGCAAATGTGGTGGTGCATACAGTGGCCAAAATGATGACAAATTCTTAGATGCTTATCAAACATCTCTGAGCCTGGGGGGCTCAGGACCATAGTTTCAAAGAACACTATGGTCAATTAGTACAACATTGTATTGTTGTTACTAATTGCCATTGACTTAGTTCTGACCCATAGTGACCTTGTATAGGGTTTCCCAGGGGTGGCTGGTGAACTGCTGACCTTGAGGTTCAAGCTGACTTTACAGTCTAGCACATTAACCCACAGCACCACACCAGGACTCCATAGTACAATATAGTACATAAAGACAATGTTTCCTTCCTACTTTGGTGACTAGTGTCTGGATATTAAAAGCTCATGAGGGACCATGTAAGGTACACTTATTGGTCTCTCCATGCGATGAGAATTGAAGATGTCTGGAATCAACTTGTCCAACAGACAAATGGAACATCAATCTCTACGAACTTGAGATCAGAAGAACTAGATGTTGCCCAGATACCACTACCAATAGAGCTGAACAGGATCACATTAGAAAGTCCTGGGCAAAGCGGCATAATGTATGGAACAAAACTCAAATTCATTGAAAAAAAGGACCAGGCTTACTAGTCAAGAAAAGACTTGAAGAACCTGAGGATGTGGCTTCTGGTTTGGAAAGGAACACATGCTCTTTCAGCCTAGCAGTATATAGGTATATAGGGGAAACAACGACACAAGTAAGACACGCTCATTCATTCAAAATCTAAGGGGCAACATGGACCTAAGGACAATGGTGAGAAGGGATGGAAGGTGGGTAGAAGGGAAACTGGAGCCACAGGGAGGAAGTAGCATAACTGTTGTACCATGGGACGGATTGCAATCATGAAACTAAGTGTATGATTTGTTGAATGTAAAACTGATGATCTTATCTGTAAAACTTCACTCAATTCACAATAAAAA